ATTATCATCTTTGGCTGTGGACACATAAGACGCCGTATAAATATTTCCATTTAGGGGAAAATTTCGTCGAAATGCTCTTTAAAAAGAGCTAATTAGCATTTTCCATCTATCCCGCCTTATGGTGAAGGACAAATAATGTCGCACAGCAGAAGTGTCACAAAAGGTATACAACTTTATTAACGTCAGAAATACCGGAATACGACACAAAATAATAGCAAGCTTTAAGTGTAAAAGATTGCCTCGAAACAATGATAAATACGATGTTAAACAACCAATATTTCGAAAGAAGGAGTATAAAATCTCTAATATGTCGTTGTCCCAATCACAAGAATCAAAAGATTAATTTTTAAAATCAGCCAATCTAGCCTATAATGGTAAGAAGTCTAAAATTGAGCCCAATAACATTTTGTAAGATTTTGAAAAGGAGCTGTTATTTCGCGGTTACTTCCAAGCGTTTTTATTAGTTAAAACAAATTCAATATTGAGCCGTGAAGTTATTAAGTGTAATTAATTGAGCAGATATTTCCGGTAGATACCAATGGCTTTACGTGGCAGCTCAATTAAGATTTCCCCTCAAGTAGAAGTGATGGTGATAGTTTTTTAACAGTAATGTGTCTGCAATAAATAAGCGAACTCATTCAAACATACTGTCCCACATTGCTGTTTAGGTCTATGACTTGCACCCTCTCGCGAAGCGATACGTAGGTTATCAATCATTCAGAAACCACCAAACGCAGGCCACGGTTCCTTTCCTATCCAGCAGAGTAGTTCTTCTACGAGTGTCAGCGGTCAGACCTCCTTCCTAACATCCGATCCTTTTTCTGCTGCCAACGTATCTATTCTCACTCAACTCAGCCACAACTCAGCCACAACTAACACGGGATACCAGTTAAACATAGACGAACAACCCTAACACCGGCTTTCTCAAGCCGTCTTATTGACCTGACTGAGTCGTGCCAGCCCCGGCCGCCCACAATGTTCACAGCACTATGTTTGGTACGTATTTCATTCAATGAATATAACTATTCATCCTCCATTCCGATTCCATTTTCCCCGAACTCCGTTCTGGGAAGGGAGCAACTCATGTGACCCAATACTGACGTAACGCTTAGCCTTCCATCTAAAGCGGCTGCTAGCACGTGCGCATGCATCCCTATGTGCCTAATTCGGTCCGGTCTGATCACTCATCTCGTTGCGGCCAACTCACTCATTAAGGCACTGTGGGTAATGCGATGACTCCGGCTCACTCACGCTTCAGAAGCGGACCTTTCGTTCGTAGTCGTGTACCCATCCAAATGCTAACGTCCTCCAGCCCATATTTACTACTCCTGTATAGAATATAATAGTTTTTCTTCCTAGGGCCTCTATATATGTGGGTATCACTTTTATTCTTTGTATTTTGTGGTATAGTATAGCCGCCAGGCTTGCGTAAGACGTTCATGGAGCGTCCGGTATGTGATTTGGATCGGGACGTAGACCACTTAGCGTTGGAAGATACTTTTGTTAAATAGGTTTTTACATCAAATCGTTAAATGTGTACTAGTCCTTCTTTGAATTACCCGAAATATGATCCTTCCTCTTTGCATCATTCTATTTTGTATCACTCAGGCAAGTTAGTTGGAGAGCTAAATAAGAAATGCTCAACATTGGTGATTCTTTATTTCTAGTTGAAAGATGTTCACTGAAGTTTATGTATCATACCACTAAGGTAGTAGAGATCGGACCATGTGGGTCTTAAATGTAAAATATGTTTAGTATTTTGCTTAGACGGGTGTTGCACCCTAATGTGTTCCTGTGTCAACACTGATTATGTCCCCTAATTTGTGTTTGGAAGGGAAGACTTAACAGAATAACAGATAGTACTTTACCGTCAGGTGTACATGTACATCATCTCTGTTTCCTGTGTCCAGCGGCTTGTCTTCTGTGGTCGGTCTCGTCTCGCAGCGTATCCAACAACATAGTCCCGTTCTGCTCGCAGCCTCGCTATTTAATGGGCAGTCGTCATTGCTCCCCGTTGGCTCTCCATGGGTGGCGTGCGCACGCTCGCTTACACAAACCTGTGCATATGTACTCAGCGTGACTTCACTGATAGCATCAACTCGGTTCCGGGACAATCTCGCTTCGCGTGCCTCCTCTGTGCCGGCCTAATGTCCGCTCATTGAAGGTCGCATGACTTGGCCCGTTCTGTACGCGCCGGACTGGCCTGTTCGCGTGCCTTGTTCCAGCGTGACCTCGGGATGTCTGTCTGTCTGGATGACGTGCTCGGACTTCCTAACACCTCTTGCTGTTACAAGGTTGACTTTTCCGGCGGACGTTTAGTCCTAGTTGGCCTCCTGCAGTCCTGGTAATCGCTATCTGACTGTACTGCCTTTCTGCTCTCGTCAATGATCTCATGACAGATATAAATGCTTGAATCTTCTCCTCAACCATCGGCCGCGGGTCCTCACCGTCTTCTTCAGCTACATTCAGTTCCGTGGAGTAGTCTGCATACCGTCTTGATTTGCAGCTCGGTATTGTCTGCACCTTGGGCTTGCCTGAACCTGGGTAGTATCTGCACCTCGGTCTGGTCTGCAGCTCAGTAGCGTCTGCCCCTCTGTTGCTGATTCATCTGAATCTGTCGCAACTTCGTCTGTCACTGATGCTGCTTCTGCATCTGTTGCCGCTGCTGTTGACTTTGCCACAACATTGTCTGCTGATGATGCTGCTTCTGCATCTGTTTCTGCTGTTGCCTATGCTTCTGATGATGCTTTTGCTGCTGCGATGGCCTCTGTTGTCGCTTTCTTGATTTTGTTCTCCCACTTTGTTCTCTAATCACGGCTTGTCTGCTTCCCATCTTCCTGTAACACAGCGAGGAGAGCGATTAAATTGGCTTTTCGTGCCTCCAATATCATCCTCGTTTGTTTGAAACTGATCGTTATGTGTAGCCCTTGTAATTATC